CCCCCAGGTGATGGCCCAGCAGCTCCTGGTGCTCTGCAGCGGGTGCTATGTCCGGCTCCTGGTGACGGGCCGGCTCCCTCCCCCCAGGTGATGGCCCAGCAGCTCCTGGTGCTCTGCAGCGGGTGCTATGTCCGGCTCCTGGTGACGGGCCGGCTCCCTCGGGCCATGCCAGGGGGACACMTGGAGCACAGCAATGTCCCCTGTCCCTGCCAGTTCATCCAGAGCACCRTGCTCAGCCCCCAGCACGGCTGGGGCAGGACCAGGTGACCAAATAAAGGTGTCCCCACACCCCAGCGTGGRGAGGCTGCCCTGGATGAGCATGTGGAAATGGACTGGGATGGAACAGGCAGGAAGCTGCTCCCCTTGGAGACCTCCTGCTCTCCAGCTCTGTGGGGAGGAGCTGCCCTGAGCTCAGAAACACCCCAGGGACAGCCTGGGACTCGCTGGTGTCCAAACCCTCCTGCCACCAACCATCAGCCCCTCGCACAGCAGAGCCAGAGCACGGCTCGGGGTGGCAGCAGAGCCCTGGGGCACTGGCAGCTCGCACTGGGCTCTTCCCAGGGTGCAGGGTGACCCTGCTCCTCCTCCTGTGCTCCTGTCACCAGCAGTGGTGAGGTGAGATCCACCTGTTCCTGTAAGAGCAGCCAGACAGCCCCAGCAGCGAGCCCCCGACACAGGATCCCCTTATYRGTGACCCCAACAAAGGATCCCCTTATCAGTGAYCCCAACAAAGGATCCCCTTATCAGTGAYCCCAACAAAGGATCCCCTTTTCCCTGAGCCCCAAACAAAGAGTTCCCTTATTAGTGACCCCCCCAAAAAAGGATCCCCTTATCAGTGACCCACCCAAAATATGATCCCCTTATCAGCAATTCCCCAACAAAGAATCCCCTTATCAGTGAGCCCCCCACATGATCCCCTTATCAGTGACCCACCCAAAATAAAGGATTCCCTCATCAGTGACCCCCCAATAAAGGATCCCCTTTTCAGTGAGCCCCCAACACATGATCCCCTTATCAGTGACCCCAACAAAGGATCCCTTTTCTCTGAGCCCCAAAGGGTTCCTTTATCAGTGATCACCCAAAACATGATCCCTTTATCAGTGACCCCAAAAAAGGGTCTCCTTATCACCAAGCCCCCAAAGGGTCCCCTTATCAGCAAGCCCCCAACAAAGGATCCTCTTATAAATGACCCCCTCCCCCCCCAAAATAAAGGATTCCCTCATCAGTGACCCAACAAAGGACCCCCTTACCAGGGACACCCCCCCACAAGATCCCCTTTCCCCCCCCATGCTTCACGACCCCAAGCACTGCAATGACACCAACCCCATCCCAAGAGGAAAACCCCCACACTCCCAATTGGCTGATGTTCATCACCTTTATTGAGGTTGAGCTGCCACAGGAGGGGTTCAGGCAGAGTCCCCCCCACACGGGTGGGGTTTGGGGTTCTGCTGTCATTGCTCTGTGACAGTGCAGGGGTTGGGGACACATCCTGCTGTGGTCTGGGGTTGGCAGGGCACCTTCAGCACCTCACTGGGATTCCCACATACCTGAGCTCCAAGACTCCTTATTCCAGCTCAGGAACTGTAATTTTACCYTCATGGAAATTGTCTGAATTTGTACCAATACCACTGGGAGCACGGTTTGGTTTCACAATATAAAAATCTGATGGGTTCCCTGTTAGGATGTGATGGCTCAGGCTCTTCCCCTGGTATTCCATGGCCCACAGGTGYCAGGAGCATCTGATACACACTGGAACCTTCTTTTTGTTCTCCCAGCTAGAAAATTCTGGTCACGAGAGACTGATGAGGACATTTTCTGTGCCGAAAACAGACACAGCAGGGATTTGCTGCTATTTCCCAACTCCTGGCATACAGGATTTCCAGCAAAAACCAGTGGGAAGAAATCTTGTGGCCTTCCTGGGAGGACCACGAGGGATTTTATCGTCAGGACCTGCACTGGACGGGTTTGATGTTGCTGGGAAGCGAGGCTGCTGCTTCAGGGGGGGCTGGTACCTCTGCCCCTACATCTGCAAATGCACAAGGATGGGAGAAAAGAGATGGGTTCAGGATTAACCAGGGGGGAAAGGGACATGGCTGGGGTGTGAACTGGTAAAGTCTTTTGAAAACCTCCTGGTGGGAAGCTGGGCAGCCTGATTGCAATTAAACTCACAGTAATTAACTGCAGAAAGGAGCTGAAACCCTCTGTTCAAAGGAGGACTTTGGTTCCTCTCGCCTGGTCCTGCCCTGACCTTCCTGGAGCCTCTGCTAATTCCTTGCTCCCGCTGCAGGATGGGAGCTGCTCCTTCCTCTGCTTCTCCTTCACATTTAATCAAARCATGAGTGCAGGGGGACAATCCCCTCTCCTTTCCCTATGAAGGATCCAGCTGTTACTTCAGGGAC